TCAAAAAAGAAAGCTCAAGAGAAATTAAAAAGTATTTTGAACTAAATGACCCTCTAAGTGGGCTTCCTAAGGGGCCCAAGCAGTCACCAGGTAGTTCAACCACTTCTGCCCCTTCTCTACCCTCACAGATGTCTCAGTGAACAGTGGAAACTGCTAAACACTTCTTTCCTTTCTCTTTATAAAACTGATGCTAGGCTGGGGTTTCCTTCATCTTATTCTCAGTGCAAAGGTCCCCTCTAATCTTGATAGTGAAAACTACCACTGCAAGCTATCCTATCTTCAGAAATCTCTAGACAAGAAATCTGTACCAATCTCTGTGCACACGCCTCCAAACTCAGAGAATTCGAACCACCTCCAACTTTCCATTTCCATCATTGTTATTGCAGATCTCACTATTTTTGCCAGCAATGTTTGTGTGAGGCTGCGAATTAGTTTTCCTGTTCAGCCACAATTCTTTCTTACTTACTGCCACCAGAGCAATATCTCTGGTCATGTAAGTTTGATGCTCCAAAAAAAGATGCAAAAATTATTATCAGGGTAAATACTATCTTTTCAGCAGGGTATTCACAATCTTCGACAAAATGATGTCAAAGGACCTGCTCAGAATAACTTCATATTACTCTTGTATATACTTTTTATGCCAAAACCAAACTGGACTTACTCATATTTCCCAAATAGTTTCCACATTTTGCCTTCGCTTAATCTAACCCCTCTGCCTGTAAAATTCTTTCTCTGCTCCTTCCATAATGCATGTGTGTGTGTATTCAAGTATACACACATTTACATATAAATCAACCCTACCCATCTTTTAAGGGTCTTCCCAGAAGTCACCTCCAGGATTCCTTTCCTGAATCCCCAAGCTGTTGGCAGTCCTCTTTCCTTTAAAAGGCTCTAACAAACACTCTATTTATAACTGTATTATGTCACTTATGTCAGTTTCGCCCACATTCTAGTTCTTTGCTGTCCAGACGGTAGCCAGCAGACAAATATGGCTGTTAAATTTGAATGAATTAAAATTAAATAAAACGTAAAATTCAGCATCTCTGTCACACTAGCAATATTTCAACTGCTCAGAAGCAACCTGTGACTAGTGGTTTCCATATTGGACAACACAGACATAGGACACTTTCATCATCACAGAAAGTCATACTTGAAAGCACTGCTCTAGCTGTTTTTGGATCTATTTCTTCCCCATCAGCTCCAAAGTTCTTGGACTCAACCTCATCTCGAATGTGGAAGATTCTCAATAAACGTAGATTAAATAGGTTATTTAATTATATTATTAGGAATGTATGGGTCAAGGGTGTAAAAATAAATTATTCCATCAGGCCTAATATTTATTAATAAAGAATTTAAAGAATTTAAATATCTTCTTAAAGAGTTGATATTTTGCATTTAAATTCCAAAGCCAGAAATGCAAAACAAAACAGTCAGGCATAGAATATGTAAATAGCTTACAGAATGGACTATTCAGTAGAATACACTTAGGAAATAGTTTCATTTCCCACCCACCCCAGGCCCTAACCATTAAACGTGCTTTGATAGATATGCTGATCCTATTTCTTTACAACATTTTGGGGAGATCCCAGAGCTTTTGAGTTATTTTTGGCTATTATACTATTTTTATATTCAGGTATTTAAAAAATCTATTCCAATCTAAATCCAAACTTTAATCTGGCATCTAATTTAAACATTCTCTCCTCCTAGTTCCAGGAAGTGGCAAGGAAGTGTGGTGGGGAGGGGACAGGACTAGTCTTCTCTTTCACTCAACTTACTCGACCTCATTGTGCCTCATCTTTAATTTGTAGCTTCTAATTAAAGTGCTACCATGGCACACATCATCTTTTTGGTCCTGACCGTGGTGATCCTATGCATTGCATTAGGTACCAGAGGAGCTGCAATGGTGAGTAAGATGTGGCTTCTGCTCTCAAAGACCTTAAAACAAATAGAGTAGAAATATTTCCCTTCAAATAACCAAGAAATAAGGTAGAATCTGTTAGTATCCTGAGAGATGCATGGGGAAAAAACTTATAGGAGGATAAAAGAATGAAAACGCACTTTCAGGGATACTTTTTGACAAATGAACCAGTTGAGCTGGGTTATATAAGAAAGAGAATGTCAAAGGCATACATTTCTTAATTTCATCTTGATATCAAACAAATCAGGTACATTATGATCCAGCATCATATCCACTTATATCCATTGAGTTTCTTTCAGCTACAAATGACAAAAATCTCAGTCTAACTTGGCTTAAGCAAAAGGGGAAGAGATGGGGGAAAAGGGAATTTAACAGGAGAGCCCTAGGTACACTGGCTTCAGATGGGACTTGATGAAGGAACTCAAAATACCTCACCAGGATTTAGTCCTCTCTCTCTACAGAACTCTTCTTTTCAGTCTTGTGTTAACATCGGTCTCCAACAAGCTGTCCCACGTAGCACTCCTAGGGCTCATCCTTCTGGACTCACAACCAGCACAAAAAGCTATAGTCCTTGTCCCAGAATTTCAGGCAAAATTCTGAGCTCTCGTGAATTAGACAAGCTAGGGTCAAGGCTCACCCTTGAACCGATCCACATGCGGGTGGAGGGAATGTGGAACCTGGTCTAGTCCAGGTGAACCTTGGAGTGCGTGAGTGGAGTCATCTTCACCCAAAGTGCCTGGGCTGAGAGCTGGGGGATGATGGCTCCACCGGTGCAGGGATTGGCAAACTTTTTCTGTAAAAGGCCTGATAATTAATATTTTAGCCTCTGTAGGCCATAGAGTCTCCGTCTATTCAACTCTGCCATTGTAGCTCAAAAGCAGCTGTGGACACTACATCAACAAATGAGGATGGCTGGGTACCAATAAAAGTTTATTTACAAAATTAGGAGGCAGGCCAGATGTTGCCTACAGGCCATAGTTTGCCAATCTCTGCATGAAGGAGAAACTGAGTACAATTATCAGGACGGAAGTCAGGCAACAAAAACAAAAACAAACAAGAGAGGTCTACTACCTGCATAGTATGACACAGGTATGCCTGCTTCTCCCGGTCTTTAGCCCTGCTCCCTCTTTATAATGAGAATCTTAACAGATGACTTTACGAGGCTTCTTTTCTTGCAAGTTCACTTGGCTTCAAATTAAAATGGTCTACTGAGTGTCCAGGTGACTCTTGCAAACACTTGGAACCCAGGAGGAAAGGTGACAGCCTTTCTGGCAACCAGCTTGTGGGCTGTAGCAGCTTCCGTAACAGATAATTTGCCTCTGGATACAACACTTTCATATGCTAAAATATATAATCTCTCCCTCAGGCCCCCAAAACAATCTGGTTCTTTCCTGATCTTTCCCACCTCAGCTAATGTTACTGCCTCTTATGCGCTCATTCAGGCCAAAAGCTGAGGTGTCATCCTTGATTTTTTTCCTGCTCACACTCCACAGCCAGCCAGTCAGCAAGTTGTACATTCAAAAATACATGCTGAATCGACCACTTCTTCCTACCTTCACTGCCACAACTGCAGGCCACGTCACATTGTCCTTCTCCTGGACTCCTCCAATTGCGTCCCCATGAGTCTCTCTCCTGCTTCCTCTTCTTCTCTCCTTTTTCTATGCAGCATCAGAGTAATCTTTCTAAAATATAGATCCTCCCATGGCTTCCCAATAAGCTTAGAATAAAATCTAAACTCCTTAGCATAGTTCACAAGCTCGCATGATCTAGACTTTCTCAACCTTCCCAGCCTCATGTCCTAACGCTCTCCCCTTGTTAGCTCCATTCCAGCGATGCTGTCTCGGGCTGTTCCTCTGATGCTCTAAGCTCAGCCCTGCCTCATGACTTTGGACTTTCTATTCTCTGTACTAACGTAGATCTTTTCCTAAGCATTTCTAACAATGTTAAATCCAGTAGAACGGCATGTTGTTTCTCTCGTTCTCCACTGTATCGTAAGGTGTGGAACAGTACTTGACATGGAGTCTATAAATATTTTCTGAATGACTGAATGACGCAATTGTGGTGAGACAAACGGGGCAGATATATAGACAATGGGATAATGCAGAAATGTTCAGATTAGTGTAATAATTCCAAGGTTCCAAAAGAAAGCCAGACGCACTCTCTATTTAAGATTTCAATGCCTGGTCGGATGGCTACACTAAGGAAATTTAAAAGTAGCATTCACTCAATAAGTAAAAACAAACCAGAAACAACAACAACAAAAAATCCTAGTGGTTGCAACTTTGCTATAATTGATGAAAGGTTACATTCTTCTGAGTCAATGTAACTCATTTATCTAGAGATCAGAGAAGAAAGAAGAGATTCACACCCACGGTAGAGAAATAAGTAGTATGCTAAATTAAGCCCCTGGGACATGAGTTGATGTAATTAATGCTGATTTTCTAAGATGTGAAGAAAGAACCTTGCAAAGAACTCCTAACACTAGCAAACTGGCAACAAAGAATATTTCACACTTGTAATTGAAAAACGCAAAATGCCTATGTCAGTAAATCCCAGAAGATGTCACTGGGGACAAATAAGGAACTTTATTGGCCGTTCAGATTTCTCCATGACTTTACTCCCAGCATCCTGACATGGAGCCACATGGCCTGTGACATGGGCCACATAGGGACTACCTTTAATGTTAACTTTCTAATTCTCTTAAAGTGCTAATTACTATAAAGTAGCACAACTCCATTTTGGGGAGGATGGAACATGCTGGTTTTCTTTATTGCTGATTAATGCAAAAATCCTCTTTTTCAAATTGGATCAATAAAAGAACAATGCCTTTGACCCTCTCGCTTGGGGGCGTTTTCCTCTTGAACACCTGTATTAGCTTTCCTGTGGTGACAAACCAGTCCCAAATCTCAGTGTCTTGTAACAATGAGCGTTTCTCTCTCTCACAGTTCCAGGTTAGCAGCTGTCCCTCAGCCACTTTGGCTTTGCTTCATGTGCCCTCTCACGCCAGGAACCAAGCTCAAAGAACAGCCCCTCTTTGGGACACTACATCCTTACTGAGGGCAAGTGGGAGAGCCAAACCTACCTGCTCTTAAAGCTGTTGTTCCATTGTGGCATTTGCACTTCCACTGGCAGAAGCAAGTCACATGACCAAGCTGCTCTGGTGCAGGAAGTGTATTCTGCCCCCAGGGTGGCTCTGCAAGGCAATGGGTGGGAATACATAATTATCCTAAAGAGAAGGGAATGAATCTTTTGGAGCAATAATGCAACTTACCACAAGACCCAATTAGCATAATCATCCTAAGTGTATCCTTCCCCCAACAGACTAGCTGAATTTGATAAGATTTGAGGTTCTGAAGCTTCCTGCAGTTTCTAACTCTTTAGTTAGGTCCTTGATCCTGAGTTCAATTCTATTTCTCTGTTCAATTCTGTTCTTCCATGGGCACAAGGATTTAACCCATCTTCCCTCTTTCTTAGACCTTACTACCAACCCAATAGGTACCAGACCCATTTGTTATCTTAAGTAATCCTCCTAGAAATCTCTGCATATTCAAATAAATAGAAGATCTGAGAGGCTAATGTAGCAGCCAGACTTCTCACTGCTAGAAATTGGTATGTCCCAGATTGGAATTCCACCTACTTTCTGGCACACCATGCTGCCTACCATATGGACTTGTCTTATCCAGGAACGGGAAAGGCCCAGTATGGGCTCGGGGGAGAGGGGTTGTCAGGGTCATATTAAGGCCTTGGTGGGCCCTGAGTTCCTTCACGATAGAGGTTCCACTCTGCATCATATGAAACATATCAAAACAAACCCTCATCCCACATTAAATATAATTTTTGACTGTAAATTTTTTGAAAGGATGTTTATAAATTTACTTTTGAAATTATTTGGCTACAGGTAGCATTTGACTTTTGATTGGTTATGATTTCTCAGCTATCACCACGTATACTCAGGAAAGAAGAGTTTCAAAGTAAGAAATTCCTGTGGCATTATTCACAACAGCCAAGACTTGGAAGCAACCTACGTGCCCATCAGGGACAAATGGATAAAGAAGGTGTGATATATATACACAATGGAATACACCTCAGCCATAGAAAAGATGAAATCTTGCCATTTGCAATAAACGGATGGCCTTTGAGGGTGTTATGCTAAGCAAAATAAGTCAGAGGGAGAAAGGCAAAGACCATATGATCTCACTTCTAAATAGAAGGTAAAAACAACAGCAAACAAACGTATAGAGACAAAAGTTAGATTGATGGCTACCAGAGGGGAATGGGGGAGAGAAAAGGGTAAAAAGGATGATTTGCACAGGTGTATGGTGATGGATGGTCATTAGTCTTTGGGTGGTGAACATGATGTAATCTAACAGAAATCGAAATATAATGATGTACACCTGAAATTTATATAAAGTTATAAACCAATGTTACCTCAATAAAAAAAAAGTAAAAAGTCTAATTTCCAAAATTGTATTCAAATGCAGTGAAATTTGTCTAAACATTAAATTTAACAATTAATACAGTTGACATAGTGTTATATTTGTCGATTCAATTTTCTAGCTTTCTTATATTATTTGCAGTCCATACACTTTTTTTTTCAGGACTCAAACATTTTTGTGGGTCTCTGAAAACCTCATAGGCTCCAGGATTTGTGTCTGTGCTGCCCAATGGATTAAATAGTTCTGGTGATGCTTTATGCCAGAACTATTCTGGGTGAGGAAAAACACATCCTCAAAACATGGAGCCCAGAACCAGAGCCTTGAGAAGAAACTAAAATAAAGTCAGATATTGTCCAAAGGTCAAATAGTAGAATCTATGCATGAGACAGCAGGACAAAAGTGAGAAATCCGAGAGTAAACCCGAGAAATAGGAGTGAGTGGGAGGAAGGGTGGAAGGGATGCTCAGCAGTAAGATGGCTGCAGGCTTTGTGCCTCTGGCTTCTGTGGAGGTGGCAGCTGCTGTAAAGTTGCCTTTTAAGTACAGCTCGTTTTTTGTGGTTGACCTGGGGCAAAAATATGCCTTTCACTCTCTTGCCCCAAATGACTGCTCCTAGACTCCAAACTCCTGCGCTGATGCCATTCCTACCCTCTCCAGTTTTCTGAGAGATCTCTGTGGCTCCCGTTCCAGGCTCCTTGCGGGAGGTGGAAATGTCCTCCTCCCCTACAAGGCCACTCCTTTCCCGAGTGGCCCCAAGGGCCCCTCCCTTGGAGGTTTGGCTGTCCTGAACTTTCATTGAAGGGTCACTGACTCTGATCCCAGAAAAGCCTGTATCCTTCCTGATGTGTTTCTCTCTTCTTGATTTGACTTGTCTAACGGAAACCGTTGAGTTGTTGAGGCAGATTCTTTCTGCAGGTGAAGATGCACTTCTGCTCCCAGGATCCGGAGTGATTTCCGTGTGCACTCACACTCCCTTATACTCGTGCTAACTCTATTACTCTTAGAGTCATGTGGCCTCAATGATGAGAGATGTCTCTGACTGTGATGGAGCCTCTCATGTTTCCAGTCTCGAGGAGACCACTAGGTTTCCATCTGATTTTGAAGAGAGACAATTGATATACCATCAGTCAACTGTTCCCACAGCTTCTCCCTAATGATAAAGTCAGGTGTCCCTTCACCTCACTTCTGGAATGTAATTACTGTTCCACTTTTTTTACAAAATTTTTTTTTCACCTTTAGTAATGATGATGCCCTGATTGATAAGGACCAAGATTATGAGTCTGACCTTATCCTTTCTTTACCTTGGAAGGTGAGGACAAGACATTTCCTCAAGTGAGCCCTGATCGTGGAGCTATGATGGAGGTGTCTGTCCATGGTAAAGAGCTCTCCTGGAGAGGAGTATCATCAGAGGAGACATGGCCAGCTGCTCCAATCCTGGTGGATGTGAAGGGAGGTTGAGGAGACGGAGCAGAGCACATCATGAGAGAGGCCGATGGAGGGAGAAGCTGGAGCTGAGGGTGTTCTGGATTCCTGTAACCAACCAGGCTTTAGGTGAGAAGTTTGTCTGAGCTGACAGCATCACTGAAGGCCACTAGTGGTGCACTGCAGTGTGAGTGGTGTCCCCTGGGATTATGAAGTGTGCCATCTGTGTAATTGCACAGTGTGAGCCTGACACGGGAACTGAGCCCGGAGACAGATCAATGGTGTTGGGAGCAGGACAAGCTAGGAGAGGGCAGAGCCTCAGCTCTCCTGGGCTTTAGAACAGGAAGAGCCATGCTCTGAGGCCTGGGAGCAGTCATGCAGTTTGAGACTTCATGGGATAACCTTACTGTCCAGAATGGTAGCCACCAGCCACATGACACTGTTGAGCCCTTGAAATGTGTCTAGGGTAACAGAGGAACTAAGTTTTAAACTTTATTTAATTTTAATTAATTCGACTTTGAAATTGGTACTCAATTCAGTTATTGGAAAACTTTTATGGGTGACTGGAATAACGTGGGTATATGAAGTTTTTCAGCTATAAATTTTATGAAATCTAGGGGCTGGCCCCGTGGCCGAGTGGTTAAGTTCGTGCGCTCCGCAGCAGGAGGCCCAGTGTTTCATTGGTTCGAATCCTGGGCACGGACATGGCACTGCTCATCAAGCCACGCTGAGGCAGCGTCCCACATGCCACAGCTAGAAGGACCCACAACGAAGAATATACAACTATGTACCGGGGGGCTTTGGGGAAAAAAAGGAAAAAAATAAAAAAATCTTTAAAAAAAAAAAATTTTATGAAATCTAAACACATCAAATATTTCCCACAAAAATTTAGTGTCTGAATTAAGATGGGCTGTAAGTGTAAAATACATACCAGACTTCAAGACTAAGTCTGAAAAAGATGTAAAATATATTGATTTTATGTTGCAATAATAATATTGTGTTGGGTTAAATAAAACATATCAATAATATATTTCATTATATAGATTAATATATTGTTAAAATATATCAATACGTTAAATTTTTAATATACTTAAATATAAATGTTAAACACATATTTCTATGTGAAATATAATTTTACGATATAAACATAATTAATAAATATAATTTTATATAATTACAAGTGTAAAATTAATATATTTTAAATTGTATTAACATATCATTATAATTAATTTTACCTGTTTCTTTTTACTTTTTAAATATGACTTCTAGGGAATTTTCAGTGACACGTGTGACTCATATTTCTGTTGAACAGTGCTGCTTTCTTACCTACTCACGTACACCCTCTAGATTGTTTAATAAACAGAATTTTTAATGGTCAAATACTGTACAAACTATTTAATAACCTTTTTTCCACTTCTCAATATGTCAAGAATATCTTGTCATATGAATAGCGAGTATTCATCTACAACCTCAAAAGGATTAAAATAAACGAAAGATCCCTGTTGGCTAGGATGAGCTTCTTGCAGAGTCAATTATATGAGCTGAATCTCCATTCCTTAATTAGACTTTTTCCTAAAATATTGAGGGCAGCGAGCTAGCAGGTGGGGGAGCCCCAAACCATTCAATGAGATGTTTTTCCCAGAATCTGAGTAGAGACTTGGATGAAAAGAGTGTTTATGAGCAAAACCTTTCATATGACACTGGCCCTGTTTGCAGTAACAATAACAGACTATTGTCTGTCAATAGCATCTATGGCTCTTCTCTCACACAGGCTTATGATCAAGTACTAGCACTATTTTTAGGAGGTGACTGCAGAGCTGACGAATCCCGCAGTAGCCACAGACTGCCGCTAAGCAACCAACGCAAACAGATTGATGGGACTCGCCGCCTTGAAAGTCTTAGAAGAGAGCAGGGAGTCGTAAAGCCCCAGAATAGATGGTCTCATAAGAAACTGTTCCGTTCAATGTCAGCTTTTGAAGTCCAACTCAAATATAGCAGATCTGGACTTCTCAGACATAAGGAATAATTATTTTGTACATATGCCTACATAGACTGGCATAGAAAGTCTACATTTCTTTACAAATTTCCAGATCCCAAAGCAATAGTTAATGGCATCAATAGTCTTTGCACAGTAAAAATTATCCAGGACAATATTCACTATTATTGTTACTGCTCAGAGAGGTATTTTGGGCTGTGGAAAAATCACGAGTTTCTAGCACTTGAAAGACTGGCATTTAAAGCCCGGATCCACATTTACTGGTTGGGTGACCTTAGAATGTAATTTAACCTTCCTAAACCTCAGTTTTCCCATCTGTGAAAGGAAGCAATAATAAATGCCTTGTACGTCAATGTGAATATCAAATTTAGTACTGCATTCAGTGGATTCCTCTAAGCATTTATGATGTGCTAGCGCATAGTAGCCAACATATAATAAGCAATCTGTAAACATATTCCTTTCCCTTTGCACCTTGTGTTACTCAAACATCTACCTGCTCACATTAGAGAATACACAGGTCAAAGAGCAGAGAAAGGAAGAAAAGAGAAAGAAAGCACAGCCCCCTCCACCGCAATAGGACTATACATACTTTTGGGGTTTTTTTCCTCATTTCACTTGCCTGTAATAATTTAGTTTTAGACATTTTAGTGGGAGTTCACTGTCATACATCACTGACTCTTTCCTTTAATTACACAGATGTTTGTGGTCCTCTGACCACATGTCTGGGAATTAATGATCTTCCCACATTTTTAAACTTCATCCACAGAGATGACGAGGAGTTAAGTTTCAACATTCAAGAATTAAATAACAAAACAATTATTTCAGAGGCATTATTACTCATTATGTAAAACATATTAAAATGCATCCACATTCCTAATGAAACACATTACACAGATAATGATAAGAATTGAAATTAGTTCACTAATTGACATATTGTCTTGGGTTGTGGATTGTTAGTGAACTGTTTGTTAATTTTGATTTCAGTTTGGTATTTTCTTTTTGTCACTTGGAGATAAACTTTTTTTTCAAGTTACAAACACCTTGTAGGCCTTCAAAATCTTGTGTCTCCGGGCACGGTCTGTATCTCAACCACCTGACAGATGAAAGCCTGTGTGCATTGTAGGGCAGGGCTTTCCAAACTTTAGCATCATGAGAACCCCTGCACGGTTTGCTAGGCAAAGACCACTGGTCCCCACCTCTAGAGTTTTTGATTCAGTCGGTCTCGGGTGGGACCTGAGAATTTGCATTTCTGCCAAGTTCCCTGGTGATGCTGAGACAGCTGCTCCAGGCACCACACTCTGAGAACCACTACTGTTGTGTTTGCAACTACAGAATCCAGACGATTAAGAACACATCATTAGTGATGGAAACCACACTTAAACAAGCCAGGATGTGTGTAGATGTACAAGAGATAACTGGTTTTTAACTCAAACCCCTTACTACACGGCAAGAGTTAGTGTCAGAAAGGCATGGTGTTGGTGCGCAGAACAGTGGGGTTCCAGTTTTTGTATCGATTTATAGAATTCTCCCGGGAAAGTCACCTCCCCTCTCTGGGCTTCAGTGCTGTCTGCATAAAGTGGCTTTTGAGTATCAATAAATTATGAAATGGTAAGGTGCTATATCAATGAAAGTTATTATTTTTATTAGCATTTAGTGAGAAGTGAAACAAATGGGGAGTTTAATATCCTTGGAAGAAATATCTGCCGTCTAAAGAATACCGCAAAGCACGAGGGCAGGGAGAATCTGGGCGGAAAGAGCCAGTTTGGCACAGCAGTTGGCTGAGGCTAAAAAGCCCTCAGGACCAGCTACTCTGTCATAGTCTAGAAAGCTGTTGCTGTAAATCTGGTAGTGAACTAAAAGAGCTGTATCCTTGCTGTCCAAACGAGGTACCAGCAAGGATGAAATTGTAGCAATAACCGGCTCCTGGACCCTACAGGATCCATGTTCAACAGCGCCACCATGTGGCAGTGACTGATAATAGCTGTGTTGAGGGACAGAGCAATTCCGTCGGGGGCGTGGAAGAGGACTGACTCCCTTTAATTAAATAATCCCCAGTGATGAAGCGAATGTTTGTGGTGATGGAGTGTAACTAGACTTTGAGTGGTGAACATGATGTGGTCTACACAGAAATCGAAATACGTAACGATATACACCTCAGGTTTATATAATGTTATAAACCATTATTACTGCAATAAAAAATAAAAAATTAAAACATATATAAATAAATTTTTAAAAATCCCCAGGAGCTCTTAAATAATTTTCTCGGGAGGGTGAGGCCTCAAAAAAGAGACTTTCGGTTCTTTCTTTTTTTTTAAAGATTAGCCCTGAGCTAACATCTGTTGCCCATCTTTTTTCTTCTTCTCCCCAACGCCCCCCAGTGCGTAGTTGCATATTCTAGTTGCAGGTCCCTCTGGCTTTGCTATGTGGGATGCCGCCTCACTTCAGCGTGGCCTGATGAGCAGTGCTGGGTCTGCACCCAAAGTCTGAAGTCGTAAAACCCTGGGCCACGGAAGCAGAGGGCACGAACTTAACCACTCAGCCCGGGGGCGGGTCCCTAGATTCTTTTAATAAAGGTAGTTACATTTAAAATGATTACAAAGAAAAATAAAGAAAAGTGAACATATTTGTACACTAAAACTGGTGATTGGGGTCATGCCTGTAATAAATTGTTTCCGCCAGGGGGAGGATCAGGCAGAAGCAGGATTATAGAGCACGGTCTCCTGAATCTCTGCCTTCCTATAGAGATACAAATAATCAGGTCAGGGGCAGCTGCCACGGGTCCCACCCTGTTGTTGTATGTGTCTGTGCATGCTCAGGACTGCTTGAATAATCCTTTGATATTAAGGATTTTCTGGATGGATTTCTGTTTCTGGGCAGTAGATAACTCAGATAACCTTCTCCCACTATGAACCCAGAAATTCTGGGTAAAGTATAGCCAACATTCGTTAAAATGCATTGTTGAGCTCTCAAGAAAAAAAGGCAATTCTATAGGGCTTTCAAATCATAAAAAATCAAAAACTACAGCTGTGAATGCAAAATAACACTGAGTCTACCTGGGAGGGCAGAGGGTTTTCTCTTCCAGGAACCAAGAGTCTGGGGTCTTAGCCACCCACATGAGCACCAAATATGAAGGTCTGATGCCAGGAGGTGGAGATGAAAATAAGACAAACCATCCCATGCTCCTGCCCCAATAAAGCCAGAACACTTGCTGAACCAAACCCTCAAGGGACGGGTGGACTAGAAAAATCCACCCACTGGCACAAGAGAAGCAGTTTGGTTTGCCTGGATAGGAAAAAAATGTCCTCTGGCATTTGTCGCTGTGGCCCTCCTCATAAGCAGTTTGAGATTTGAAATAGCACTACTTATGTGGTCTGGAAACCCCCAAGCTGGGAGATTAATATAAAAGTTAGTCTCAAGATGCTAATATGTCCAAGGTGCCTGACTAAAGCAAACTGGAATCCTTTGTAGAGAGGCACATCCCCAAGCCAGGCGGTGGAGAATTTCCACAGATAAAGATGAGTTCACAACTCAAAATTACAAAACATACACTAAAAGAATCTTTCATGAGGGAATGTCAGGTCACAAAAACAGGAACTTTAGACCCCCTAGAACTAACAGAAAGAAGGAGTAGCACATCCATTAGGGACA